CGTAGCACGTGCCCAAGCCAACGCAACTTACTTAGTGCTATCTGTTGTTCTAGGGAGCTAGCATGATTAGCCCCATCTAGTACTCGCCTACGCACATCATTGTTGCAGACACGCTGGTGCCATCCGACTTTAGCAATGCTTCGCAGAAAACGAGGATCAAAGACTTGAAGGCGCCACAGAGCTTCAGACCGAAGGGGCCGTCTCACTACCATAGAGCAGAATGGCCCTCACTGTGGCCTTGTATACACGGCCTTTCAGACGGAGGGGAACTCCCTTCTGTCGCCAAAGATGCCGCTGCCTTTTGCAATAAGTGAACTGATTTCAGTTTCTATGCGGCCATCATTGCTGATGCAGCTGCCGAGATAAGTGAAATGATCAACCATCTCGAGTTCCTCGTCAGCAAGAGTCAAGGGTGTATCAAGTATCTGGTGGTCCCGCAGCAACACTTTGCACTTTGAAGGTGCGAAGTGCATACCAAATAATAGGACCACTCTGAACAGGCTATTCAGGGTTGATTGTGCCGCCGCAATATCGTCGGAAAGCAAGACGATATAATCTGCATAATGAAGAGCAACTAACCTTCCAACAGGGAGGACCTCAACGCTTACATCGCGAAATTTCGCAAGGGAACACTCCATGATAGATTGCACGAAGAAATTGAACAAAACCGGGGAAATCGGACAACTATGATGAATGTCACTTGTGTTCGGAAAGCTATCCGACAGGTCACCGTAGATCCTGACGCGGCCTGTAATGTTAGAGTAAAGAGCACGTAGGATGTTCACATATTTCGTGGGAATATCTTTCCGCGAAAGTATTTTGAACAGAATACATCGATCGACTGGATCTAACGCACTCTTGAAATCGAGGAACACAGCTATTATCAGTCTGCGGATTGCCTGGCGCTGTTCTAGCACCTCCCGCAGAGTAAATATATGGTCGACACATCCACGTTAACTTAGCTAATGTCGTTAAATGGGCTGCACATAAACGGCTGTTCACCGGAATTCAATCAACCAACGATGGCTCAGCCTTGGAGCTGAGAATGATACCTTCATCAGCTTGATCCGTGAGTGCTGCAGCGGCGTCTCCGAATGCGTGCAACCAATAACGAGAGGATAAGCCGGATGCAGTTAATTCAACAACCCCGTTAGGATAACTGAACCGAAGTGTCACTACACTTCGGTTGTTGTCAATTAAGTTGGGAATTATAGAAGTATGGTTAGTAATGGGGGTCGAGATGGCAGTAAGAGAAACAGGTGATAAAGAAAGAAGGGAGGCGCCAGCAGTAACATGTTTTCGCTTATCCGCCCTGCTGTATGCAGCAGGTAAAGCGACCCTTGATACTCTGCGCGACGGCCGATGCAGGATGAAGTTTAGGTTTGAAGAAAAAGCCAAGGTTGTAAGTAAACTGAGATATTGCAGGGCGCCCAGACCTAAACAGGAGGACGATTATGGTCCTCATCCAAAGCCTTTGGCTCAAAAGCCTGTCCGCAAGGCAGCGGGAAGGCGGCAATGATTTAGTTTTACAGAAATGGATGCCATCCCATTTCAAACCCCCAACGTGGAGGATCAGGAGACTGAGTTTGTCTGACCTCACACCATTGACCAACCTGATAGGAGTAGCTCTCAAGCGACCCGGAGGCACCATCCAGTATGGTTCAATGGGTCAAGAAAGTACGCAAACCGTCGCACTACGTTAAGGTCGTCTCGTTTCGACGGATATTCGGAGAAGTTCATAGAACGTCTCTCAAATGAGAACGGAATACCGGTCCGTAGGAATAAGAAGTTCATAACGCCACCATTCAAACAAAACCAAAATGAGAGGAGATTCCGGTATCGTCTAGATCAGTCCATAAAATAGTATTATTACGCTGCTGAGCTTGTAGTTTCGTACCGCTAGAAAGTCTTTGCTTAAATCCAAGCTGAACAAGCCAGACTCTCGAGTTAACGATTCATGTAGTTACCTGTTTCATCGTACTAGCAGTAACCAGTACGCCGGCCGAACTGAGGAGACTGTGTAAACAGACTCAGTCCTAGCCATTGACCAACTTGGTAATAGCTCTGAAGAGACCACGGGGCACCACCCATTATAACTCAATGGGTCAAGGAGGTATGCAAACCGTCGCACCATGTTAAGTTAAGTCGCGTTGCGACGGAACTTGTAATGCCATGCGATTTTGCAACAGCAAAGAACACACGCCGATGTATGCAGTCAAAAAATCGTATGAAAGACTTATCCAAGTGAATTTAATAGATTTGAATTTCTCGAACACCCTATTGCGACGAAGATAGTCACCTTCTGAGCACCAACTAGTGGGCTTCACTAATGCGTACTCGATCAATATATGGGAGGCATCAATAGCCAAACAAAACCAATCTCTTTAGGTCAACAGTAAGCAGCAGCCGTACCTGCGATCCACAATCACTGCATTGCAGCGTTGCACGCTCTCTTCCGAAGGAGGTGATATAGGTTCACTTTTATCATAAGGGACCAAAACTTTGTAAAGCCCCATGAGCCTTGCCAAAGCGTTCAGTAGCACATGCGGTGATGAGAGCAACACATGGCACGCAGTGATTAAAGTGAATAAGTCGAAGTTAGAAAACTGAATGTATCCGCACGGTGTTGCAGTGGTAATCTACAATATGGGGGTGCAAAGTGCAAGACAAAATGCGTAGCGCTTACAAGAAAAATGGATCTATGACCCTTACTCTGGATAGTCGGTTATCTAAGATCTTTATTCAAAAGTCGAAGGTAGAAAGAGTTTCACATGACCATCTTGATGACAAAATAAGAGAGGATGTAGATCCACCGCACAATGGCAATGGCAAACGACAGCGGAAGCTTTCCGTAGGATTTTCGACGGCCCTAGGAGTCTCCACATAAAGATAGTGGAAAAGAATAAATCATATCAGTGCAATTTACAAAACTACGCAGTCACTACCACAAGCAATCAACCAATTCGGAGGAAACCTAAAAGCGGAGGGGACTACAATGCCAGGCAAAATGCGACGAAGCATAGACGCCTCGCAACGCGGAAAAATATAAAGATATGCTATCAAGACAAAAGCCAGCCTAAGTTCAGTGAATTGATTCGCGTAAAGGATTTGTGGAAAAAACTAATTTCACATGGACATTCACAAAACGTCTGCTTGAACAGTTATGTGAATGCGTCTTCTTTGTGTCAAACAATGCGGAACAGAACAGCAGTGCTTTGGTATTGTTGCCTTGTATGGATGTATGTGTTATTGAAATGCTGGAACCAAGTACACATTGAATCCAAGTTATGTTGCATCAGTCTAGGCATTCGAGGGTCCAGAAATACAACTAGAGTACGCAGGCCTGAGTCTGGAGAGAAAAGCATCCCCAATGCTTTCTGTATACAGAACTGGAGACGGGTCCAGCTGATATTCTGTTGATCCACCTCTCTCGGTAGTGACAGCTGACGAGTTGAATCGCCATAGGACAGTAGGGCAGTGGACTTTAGGTTCAAATGATAAGAGGAAATTCTCAGAACTGGGCGCTTCGCTTGGCTAGGTAAAATAAGAGATAATACGCAATCGGGATCTGGTCAAACCAACATACAACTGGTGCGCCATGTACAGCTGATAATAATGCGGTCAATTTGATTTCATGGTACCGCTCCGAGTAGCAGTTGCTGGGTGTCGGGAAAATGCAATCAATACAGAGGCTGCAATGGTAACGTAGTTTAAAAAGTAAAGTTGAGTTGTCGGGCAAGCATCGAGCCCAATGATGGCCTCCAAAAGAAAGGCAGCCGCAGTACGTCGGTACTGCGTACCGACGCTTCGCTGCCGCGCAAATACCACCGGTCGCACGCAGGCTAAAGATACTGCGACGGTCACCATGTCCCTACGAAGGCTCGAACCCGTGCCGTCAGATTAGAAGACAAGATAGGCTACGGGCCAAGTTCGAATCTCGAGAAGTGACCTATAGGATCACTAACGTTGGTAGCAAGCAGAACTGCATTAGCAGCCACAATGATATAGAGAGAACAGGACAGCTGCTGACATTATTCATTCTTCGATGCCCCCGAGATAAAATCAGTCTGGGTATACACCGAAACTATAAAACCATCCTGTCTTCAGGTGGCGCCAGTTAATTCCTATGGACGCGTGAAGCCGAATTGCATACACATGCGGCTATTTCGCGCAATCTATTCAAGTAGATTGCTTTCGCGATTTCTGATAAGCACAATGCCAATTTCAAAAATAACAGGAGTTGAGGAGTTGCTGTCGCCAGTATAGTGAAGAGACTAGTATGCTAACAGGATAAGAATTGGATGGTCCCAGAATCGCCACTACGCTAATGTCCTGTTTGGATGATTTGCACACAAAGAGTATATCGATCACGTCTGCTGATTTGGGGAGCAAACCTTGAAAAAATCCCATCGTGAAATGTGGTTTTTGATTTTAAGAACTAATTAAGAATATCGTTTCTGAGCACCAGTTTGGATGCTAGGGAAAAGCTCAGATAAACATTAACTGCATTCCGAATTTTAAGTTACAGTGGAAACATGAATCCGGGGAGCTAGGATGAATATGAAATATAACCAAACTAACATCCTGCAGCTAAGATCCGACCGGTGGCGAAGTGATTAGGGTGTTCGGTTTGCGAGCTATAGCTCATCGTGCGAACCTGGTATTCAAGGACGATCTTGCAGTATTCTAACATGTGATCGATCACTGGTGGTTGTATGGCAATCCACAGGTTCTAGGGTGTCATTGGCATCTAAAACATCGCTCGGTGACTGGAATACACATTAGGAAGGTAACGACAGACGTTAAAACGTTGCAGGAAGAATAGCTAGACGTTCACAGTAAACAATGGCTGTGACCTCTGCATTCTAGGCCTATAAGCTAAAACGGAAATTCCAAACGGAGGCAGACAGTTAGATGGCGGTATTTAACAGAAAAAGCTAAGATCCATACACCAAAAAAATAAATACATACATACATCGTCAAAATATGAATACGCTCACTTATGAAGAGTGAAAGCAAGATGAACTGTTTCGAATATTTCAGCCAAAGTGCGGTGTTGGTTACATAGCTTGGATGATCTGATGGCGGATCCAGCGTAACACTGACCAATAAGAAGAATGACCAATCCCCCAGAAGCCCGCTGACTCGTGGTCGGAGAGAACGACGGAATCAGCTTTGTATTCATGGGCAAGAATGTGGAACCCACTGATTTGCCTTGCAAACAAGAACGTACTGCTCCAAAGAAAGGATGTTCGACACTTGCGGCTAGGCGTTTTGCACGAGCAGCCAAAAACCCAGCCTCTGACGTCAAAGTGGTGCCAAGGTTAATGAAGGGCGGAGGACCGCCAAGCAGTTTTTCAGCACGATTGATTAGAGAGGACCAGCTCATCAATTTTGTCTGCAGGCTGACAAAGTATTACGTCAAGAATAATTCAAGCTAAAGGGTAGGATGAACCGACAGCGGATAGGGGGCAGGGAGGCAAGGGTTTGCGTCTAACAGCAAGGTTTCTAAATTCAGCTCAGCCAAGCGAATGTCTGCAGCAGACTCCGGTAGTACACTGTCTGGTACTTGTGGTTTGTCTGATAGTGATGGCTCCGGATCAGGAAGGCAATATGGCTGGATAAGGATGTGTTCAAAAGGGATAATATCTTCGCGCCAATCAAGGTCGGCTAGATCCAAGAGGGGCCCATCTGTGATGTATTCACCATCGGACATTCGTCGGCTGAAACGACAGACCGGTATGAAAAGCGAAGAGTATAAGGAAGCGATGGGCTATTTTAGGGATTATATAGCAAACGGAAAGGTGAGATGAAGGTAAGCAAACAAGAAAGAGGGGTCACCAGATTTTCGTAGCGAAAAATGTAGCGCAGCAGATGCAGGCGCCGAGTGAATGAAAATCATGTAAGGGATAAGTGGTACATCTTGACACATGAAAAGGTAATGAGGTCGGACATAGATCAGAAGAACCGACTTCGAACTGCATGAAGTGTAAGGTTGTGTTCGGTTTCAGTTTCTGATGATGACTCGGAAGTTCAAGTTCAAGTGGGACTGGAACGATAGGATTATCTCGTGAGTGTTCCTTCTTCAGCGGGTCGTTGAACCAGTTGGCAGACATTGCATGGCTCATGCACCTAAAACAAAGACCGCATCACCCCTGTGCAACTAATGAATGCCCACGTATGTTACCCTAGCATTCCCTGCTGGGCCGGTTACGTAAAGTAAGAGGAAATAGTAAACTCAGAAAACAAAACGAGCAAGTGAAAAGTGCTAAGAAAGTAGAAAACCAAGATATTTGAGTCATTAAAAAACGAACTGAAAAATGAAGGTGAGTCAGTTAGGAAAAAGGAAAGGCTTGGTGTTACCACTAAAGTGCATCGAGCTGGCGCGCAAAACCCATACGCTTAGGTTCCCTAACCACGTTATCTGGAAGCGAATTCCAGCGATCTATAACTCAGCGCGACAGACGAGTTTCCGTCCTAATCCTATCGGACCGTGGTTTAGGCAATTACAGTCGTCATCATCAACAGCAGTATACCAGCCATTTGAGCTGATGCTTCGCCGCCATACAACCATGAGGACGCATGAAATAAAGAATAAAAAGAGGGAGAGAAGGGAGACTTACCTGAAAACCTTAATGCCCTAAGCAAACATTCAGGGTCAAGGCGCCTACACTTTGTGTAGACAACATTCCGTCACAAACAGCTGGCTATCGTGCAAAGATAAAGCCGCATCGGCGAGACAGCTTCCTTGCGACTTTCACTGCCACGCGTCATAATCAGCCATTACCCCATAGATAACTCAGCACCAAACACACTTTAAATAGGCAGTCCGATTAGGAGACGGCAGCAGACGCGCTACTGAGGTCTACTGCGAGATATGTCCTGTAAAGTCTCGAGCCAAGCACAAGGCGAGTCACGTGGACTCCAGCACGGAAGGCGAGACGGACCAACAGCACCCAGTTTGGTCGTCAGTGACTTCATTTCCCGCTGCCAAGTCGACTTCTGTCCACCTCGAGCCTTGGGCCACCCTATACCTGGCAGACTAAACAAGGCCCTCCTAGGTAAGCGGTGATCAGGCATACGTAGCACGTGCCCAAGCCAACGCAACTTACTTAGTGCTATCTGTTGTTCTAGGGAGCTAGCATGATTAGCCCCATCTAGTACTCGCCTACGCACATCATCGATGCGGACACGCTGGTGCCATCCGACTTTAGCAATGCTTCGCAGAAAACGAGGATCAAAGACTTGAAGGCGCCACAGAGCTTCAGACCGAAGGGGCCGTCTCACTACCATAGAGCAGAATGGCCCTCACTGTGGCCTTGTATACACGGCCTTTCAGACGGAGGGGAACTCCCTTCTGGCGCCAAAGATGCCGCAGACTCAAGAAGGTAGCTGTGGCTTTTGCAATGCGTGAGCTGACGTTAGTTTCTATGCGGCCATCATGGCTGATGCAGCTGCCGAGATAAGTGAAATGATCAACCATCTCGAGTTCCTCGTTAGCAAGCGTCAATTACAGTGGGTGACCGCGGAGATTAGGTAACATAGTGGAACTAAATAGCCCTGACAAGTCCGGACCGGTCTTATCCCTAAAAATACGATAAGTGAGAATCAGGTCCGCTCTTATCCTTCGGTAGTGCATTGAGTACATCCCCAAACTGAGCAAGCGTTCAGGATACGTCTGTCCCCGTAGACGCTGCACTAAACGAGTGTCAATTAGTAACACCTCTCCAAGTCCATTTTGTCTCGGATAAGACATGGTGGACAAGCCTGGATACAATATTGCAGGTGGGGTCCGACGAATGCTGAGAATAGCTTCACAAACAAATTGGCCGTTAGGATTCCGAAAGAGCGACGGATAAATCACATCATACGAAACCCCGACAAGCAGCCTTCTTCCGACTGCCGTCAGAACGAAGTGCTGATGAATGTGCGACCCCTCAATCAACCTGCTGAGTGACAACAGGGAGTTCACCACCGCCGACAACATATCGGGTGGGAGGATTTTCAGCTCCGATCAGGAGAACAGAGCACTTGGCCCAAATTATGGGCATCGACCATAAGGTAGGCCATTCCCAGAGTCTATCCAGGGCACGCTGAATTGCCTCAGTCCCCCCGGGATTTTCACAATATCCAGAGCTTAAGATCCTCCGCAAACAGTGATGACACTCCTAGCTCTCCCGGTAAGTCATTTACATAGATCGCGAACAACAATAGCCGCTAAGGACAGCTTGCGCGAGCGAAAGGCTACGCCCCACCCGTATGCACTGTTCCCTCCCCTCAAGGAAGGCAGACACTCATTGAAGGGCGCGACCAGATATAACGTAAGATGTCAACTTTAGTGAGAGTCGAAGATGAGGAACAGTGTCAAAGCTTTCGAAAAGTCCACGAATGTGTTTCGAGTGGAGGGTTGTGAACGCCTGGAACAGTCTGCCAGAACACGTCGTCGAGGCCGAATCTGTGCAGAAATTCAAATCTTTGTTGGATTTACACTTCGCTAACATACGTTTCAGAGAACGGTTGCCACTTGTCAACGATATCACCCATTTGTGACTCACTGTGTAAACAAGCATTTAGTGTGCTACAGAAGGAGTTGCTGAACCATCTCACGATAACCACCGGACGTGTTTATTATTTTTTTTAAATGTTTTTTGATTATCACCCGATGGAGTTGTACAGAATTATTTTCTACTTGCTCCAAAATACAGTATTCAGTATATAGCGTGGCGACTGTCTACCGCTTCCGTTTACGTTTCACGAGTTACAAGTGGATTAGTCTGACATGGAAATTTCTTGGGGAATCCCTGTTGCGCATCACTGAGAAGGTTGAATCTATCCAGGTGGTCCTCCACTGAATCCCATATCAGTTTTTCAAACAACTTGATTACTACGCTTGTCAAACTGACAGGCCGGTAGTTCGCGAGCAGAGCGCCGTCATCGCCCTTAAAAGTCGGACAAATGATTGCCTCCTTCCATTCCGAAGGTAGGATGCAGCTGCCAAGCGATATTAAATGATCATAATGTGCCAGCTGTACGCCGGAACGGCGCTTCGCTGCCGCGCGACCACCACCAGTCGCGCGCGGGCTGAGTATACCGCGAGGACGCCCACCCCTACGCGGATTGACGCCTACCCCTACGCGATATTGGAAACACGCATGTGAGAGGACTACTCAGCTCAGTGGCCAATTCATGCAACAGCTTCGGATGAACTGAATCAGGACCGGTGGCTTTAGAGGGATTAATGCCTTGCAGTAGCTGGTAGACCTGATTCTACGTTATGTTAAACTCAGCTAAGCAATAATCCTCTGGAACTCTTGAAACCAATTCAACTTGTGGTAAAGTCTCTTGAGCGAATTCCCCAGTATAATGATCACTAAGTATACAATCCTTGTCATAGTCAGTTTGCGCACGGGTCCCGTCTGCTCGCAATAACGCTGGTATAGACAGTTTTGCCACGCTGCGTCTTTTAACGTAAGCAAAACTTCTTGGGATTAGCTGCGGCCGAGTCCGCTAAACCCTGCTCGTACTGGAGACGAACAGGCATGAGATGTTGCTTACAATAATTTCTAATCTCTCGATAACTATCACAGGTACTGGCTGATGGAGCTGATCGGTAGGTTCGCCAGTATCTAGACCGTTTCTTGAGCAGTGGTATCCATCTATGGAGGCTGTGCCCGTAGCCCTCTTTTCCCCATGAGTGGAATATAGGGAGTGGAAACCTCCGTAAGGTATGCCTTAAATTTATCCCAGGCTAACTGGACAGAGTCAGCCATCGAGATCTCACAGTTCAGAACTGAAACCTTAGCTCGCACTGCACTAAAGTCCGCCCGCCATATATTCGGAAGGAATTCAACAGCGGTCTCTTGGTGCCTTGAAAGAGCACACCGAAAGGATATGCATGCGTGGTCATTGGACCCTAGAGGTGCACCTTATGAAACGTCAGTCACGAAGTGAATGGACTTAGCGAAGGCCAGATCTAAAGTAGAAGGTATTTGGTTGTCCATATACCTAGTGGGTAAGTCAACGAACTGGTGCAAAGGCACTTGGAGAGTCAGCATGAGAAAGTCTGCACCGAATGTTCCTGACGCCGAATTGCAAGAAAGGTCGGCCTGACAGACTTCCGGGAGGTTGAAATCCCCGAGAACTAAAGATTTGTTCGCGGACTGAGTGCGAATAAAGTCAATTATCCCTTCGGAAGAACTTCCAGGACTCCTGTATATCACTACAACTGTAAACTGGGTAGAGGAAGTGCAAAAACAGCCGATAGTGCCGCAACAGTCTGATCCGACGACAAAAAGGTGCAAGTCCACAACACATCTGTTACAGCTCACATACAGTACAACGCGTCCGCAATGGCGATCACCGGAGTGATTAGTTCTAAGTGGCTCGTAGCCAGTTAAACATACCACACCGTCCATGATATCCGGAGACAACCAAGTTTCAGTGAAAGAAAGTATGTCGGGACGAGATTTGGCTACAAGTAGACCCAACTCGTGCATCTTGTTCCTTAAGCTACGCAAGTTGCTAAGTACTATCAGAAGGAAGCCAGCACAACCATCCCTGGGTCGTGCGCCATCAGGATGGGTTCTGATAGGGCGGAAAATAACTTCCGGCTGACCACCTGAAAACCAACCGGCCGCTCGTCTAGTTTTGAGGACTCTGATAGCCTGCTTTAACTTCAATTTATCTACCAATGGAAGGTTCGGCTGAACACTGACA